GTGTCACCTGCTGTGGGCAGTGTTGTCAGACCCAGCCCTTATGGACCCCCAACCCCCTGGGCACAGGGACCCCTGGTCCCACAGCCCCTCCCTGGCCATCCTTGGCTCTCTCTGCAGTCCCAGGGCTCGGCGTGCGCGGCCGGGCTCTGTCTGCTGTTTCCTTATAATTTAAAAGCCTTCCTCACATTAATCTTTTTATTTTTATTTTGACAAATGTATGTTTCCAGGAAGTCGCTGAGGTCAAAGCAGCATCTGTTGCTCGTTATTTTGGGGGATGCAGAGGGTCTTTGTGAGGGTTTCCAAAGCAACAAGGAATTAAGTGGTTTGTAAAGCAAAGAGCAGGAATGAGGAGTGGGCTGGGGCTTCCCGAAAGGCGGCTGAAGATGCTGATGAAAATCAGATCAGCTCAGCTCTATTTTCTTGGAAACTTGATCTATTTTTCTTGTATGACTGTCAGCCTGACTCCTGTATTCCAAGTGCTTGGCCACTGCCAGCTCCACGTTTCAGCACTGGGATTAGTGTGGCCCCGGTCAGACTCACTTTCCCCGGCTTGTGCCGTGCCGGCAGGGAGGACACGGGCTCTGTGGGATGGGAGTGGAGCTTTTGGGAGTGGCAGGGAAGGTCCCCTTGTCTGGGGACACAGGTCAGAGACCTCTGGGATGGGCACCAGACCCTGTCCCTCACCCCGGGGATGTCCCTCACTCCCCAAAGTCACACCATGAATGGCCCAGTGCACCCCACGGGGGGGGGGCCCGTGGCCAAAACTGCTTTTTCTTTCAAAACAAGCTGAGGAGAATCCAGTGCCAAGGCGAGGGCTGTGAGGAGCCCAGGAGATTTATCGCTGAGGAAATACTTTCTCCAGCGAGGGCCGACGGCCGCAGCAGGAACAATGGGAGATTCGCAACGTGAACAAAGCTGATTTCGTTCTTCTTTTTATCAATGCGTTTTCCTTGCGGATCCTCCCTTCCTGGAAGTGGGAGATGCAGCTTCCCCCGCGCGCCCGGCCGTGTAATCAGCAGGAATGGCCATATCCTGGCAGGGAAGCGAGCTGTGAAACGCTGTCGCCCGCGGTGATTTATGAGCCCGTGGCAGTGGCCAGCGGCGGGGCTGGCCCGGGGACAAGGTGCCAGGGCGCGTGCAATATCCACGTATTCTTTCTGCTCCTCGCCGGGTCCCCGGGGAGCCGCCGGAGGAAGTTAATGGATTAGACACACACGTTCCACTTGATTTTTATTTTTTATTGCCTGCGTCTCTCCAAATGCCTTTAGCAGATGCACGAGCACAATGGGGTCGGGCGATGAGCGTCCTGGCCGGGCGGGCAGCAGGGCAGCAGCCAGCCTGGAAAGGTCAATGTGGAGAGTGCTTGCGTGGGGACACGGGGACAGCCTGTCCTGGCGGGTACAGTCCTGCCCCACTGGGGCCGTGCTCAGCACTGGTTAAGGTGACTCCAGCTCCTCCACAGCTGGTGCTGACCGACAGCCTTGGGCCATCACAGGGTCATTGGCACTGTCAGAGGCAGAGCAGATCTCTCAGGTCTCTTGCCCTGCCTGGAGCCATAATGTCCTTCCTGGGGGGCTCACGCCCGTGGAAGTGGATGGTTCCACTCCCCAGCACACGCTCCTGCCACATTATGCAATCCTCACCCGATACTGGGAATATGAAATAATTATTCCAAGTGATCAGATTTTAATTATGCAACACAGAGGATGATTATTGTACGCCAAATTGGTGCCGAGTGCTTAGTTATGTATATGCCAAATTTAGTCTATACTATTATACCCAGTGGGTGGCCATAGACAATCAGGAAGTAATTAGTTTTGCTGGAGGTTGTTCGCCTGCCTGGTTCGCTGCGCTGTCTGGGGAGCGTCTTGCTGCGCTCCGTGAATACCGCGGGCTCCGAGTTCAATACCGTCTTTTTGTGACAAGCTAATAAGCTGTCTGCATGGCGGCCTGTAATTAGCGCTGTCGATATTCATTTGGAAACGGGGACCGCGCTGAGCGGCTCCGCTGACGGCGCTTCCCTTTGTGGAGGCTCCGGGCTGGTCCCTCCTCACCTCCGAGGAGCGGCGGCGGGAGCGGAGGGATGGGGATGTGGCGGGTGTTGGATGTGCTGGTGGGTGTGTGGGACACTCGGGTCCCCACTGAGGGAAGCACCAGCCATGGGGGTGCCGAGCCCCTGAGATCAAAACCTGCCCCACTCCCAGCCCTGTGTGATCCTGGCCCCGTCCTCCATGGAGGAGCTGCCACTGGCCCCAGGTGTGGGGTGTCCCCCGTGCCCTGTCCTGTGGCGCTGCGTGGGGAGATGGGAATGTGGAGGGGGCTTTGCCTGGGGTGACTGTCTCTTTCTGGAGTCGTGGGGCACCCAAGGAGCCCCAGAGATCACTGGGACGTGCTGTGTTGCTGCATGGTCTCACCTTTCCAGGCAGCCTCATCCTGGGGTCTCACATGCAGAATTCCTGAGGGGCCTGGGGCTACATGAGCTGGGAGATCACTGGGACATCACTCCCTGGGGTGCTGCTTGCAGCTGGTCAGTGTTGTGGGGGCACCAGGAACCGCCCCTTTCTGTGGGAATGGCCTGGATTGCCGGGCAGGAATTGTGTGAAGTATGGAGCAACTTTTACCTCTGTTACACAAAGGAAACTTTCCTCCTCTTTCTGTCGGAGATGCTCACTCCATTGAGATGATTGGCATACTGGAGAGCTGAGAAACTAAATTGTTTATACACTAATGAATAGAAGCTTGATTGCAAGATCCTGTTTGGAAAATTATAGTGCTGAATTGAAGCCGTACAATTACATCCAAAATGCTGCATATTCATTTCATCTGCTTTGCATAGAGATTAACAAGCGAGCCCTAAAGCAGACTCTGAAATTAAAGCTAACACCAGATTTAGTCACAGGTTACAAACTAAATGGCATTGTTTGATGGATATGAATCTTTACCACCTGCCTGCCTGATGATTGCTAGCAGCTTAGCAGACAGCAAAGGAAAAAGTTTCTTCCCATGAAGGAAGCATAATAAGGCTCTGGGCTGGAAGTGCCCCCTCCCCATGCAGGCAGCCCCCCTGGCAGATGTCTGTGGTAGGCCCAGGGAAAGGGCTCCCTGTTCCCCACTCTGTCCTGCTGGAGACTGTACCCACTCTGTGGGGGGGTGGAGAGTAGCCCTGGGACCCCAGAGGTCCTGGGTGCTGGGTCCCTCCAGTTGAGTCCCCCCTCCTGCACGGGGGGAGGATCTCACAGGGTCTGTCCTAGAGCCTCAGTGCTGAATCGCACATGGGTTCCCTTCCTCGCACTGCAGGGTGAGGGTGTTGAGGAGGGCAGGGGCTCTCTTGCCTGTCCTGGCTGCAGGTAGCCCCTGGGGTGTCCCAGAACCCTGGCATGCCACTGGTCCCATCCCATCCTGCATCAAGCTTTGCCACCTGCCTGCCATTTGCCTTCTCCCGTCTTGTACTCACATCCTGTGTGCTGGGGCCAGGATTTATTTCAGGAGCAGAAATGGGGCCTAGGAAGGGCATCCTGGTGGAAGCTGTGGCAGGCAGTGGTCGGTGCCATGCAGCCCGTGGGGGTGCTGCTGGGCCTGGGACAGCAGGGGTTCACTGGAGATGGGCCCATCCCTGACTATGGAATCCCTCTGCCCTGTGGCAGCATGTGTGGGGACACAGGACCTCCCACTGTCACCGGCCCTGCCAGGGGGAGCAGAGGGGGCTGCTGGGACCTGCACTGGGGCTGCAGGATGGGGAGGGTGTAGGGAGTGGGCTGGCAGCTCAGGGGCTCAGCCGTCATTCCCAGCAGGGATCTTCCCTCTTTGGGAATATCTGTACAGTCTGGAGTCTGACCCCACAGGCTCAGGACTCCCTCTGTGTGGGCCCCGTGGGGCAGAGACACAGCACTGGCTCTGCAAATCCGACACCTTTATTTTTTCCTTTAAAAGTCCGTTACGGAGCCGCAGTGAACGGACACGTCATCCTACGGACGGGCCGGGCTGTCGCTACCGCACTACGGGACAGCCCAGCCCAGCTTCACAGCCCCCAGCCCCGTCACCAGCCCCCTCCCAGCCCTGTCACTGCCATGGCACTCTGGGGTGCATGTCCTGTCACCCCCATCTCCCCGTGGGAGCAGCAGTGTCAGGGACAGGCAGCGTGGCTGCCCCGAGTCTCCATTTCTGCTCGACACTTCCCAACTCGACTCTCCAACACTTTCCCAACACCCTCTCACAACCACCCAAGGTGGATAAGCATCCCCTTGTTCCCTCCCCAAAACCTGCCCTTCACCCAACACTCTTCCTTATACCTTAACTCCTTCCAGGACAGTCACACTTCCCAGACCAAACCCAAACCACACTGTAACACCCTAAACCAGTGCAAGGAACAGCCTCCTGCCTGCAGCCACCAGCAAGAGCCCAAGACATGGGATGCACCCTTTCCCTTCCTTGAGGGTCACCCCCCACTGCCACAGGCTCCTAGGGCCAGCCCTGCACCCATCTGTGGCCTCAGGGGGGTGGTCCCAGCCTGTGTGGGCAGGGGGAGCTGGAGAGTGGGAAAAGGCACCTGTGGAGGGAGGCAGTGGTGGCTTCACCGTGGGGGGACTGCTGTCCCCAAAGCTGGGCTGGGCACAGCGTGGCACTGGTAGACACAGGCTGCTCTGGAGAGACCCAGCGTGGTGGCAGTGGGGTGGCAGCCTGGGACCCGCCTTGGGGAGCTGGGCAGGGCAGTGACACTGTGGCTGTGCCACGAGGCCTTGCTCAGGCTACCAAGGGCAGCAACCGGTGAAGGAGAACAGCCTCGCGTGCGGGTGTTCCCAGCCCTGCGCCGTGCCCTGCCCAGGGCTTCCACCCTTCAGTTCCCAGGGATTTTCTGCTGTGGAGCATCCCTGGCTGTGTGAGCAGGGACAGGACAGTGGATGGCAGTGTGAGCTGGTGCAGACCAAGGGCAGGGCTGGCCAGGTCCCATCCTGTGCGGTGGCCCCGTAGGTGGTGGGGGGAGCTGTTATGTGGGATGGGGACAGCAAGGGGACCCCCAACCCCAGCACAGAGTTGTGGATGGAGCTGCCGGGGCTGCTGCCACCAGCTGCCACCCACTGTAGTCCCACTAAGAGAGGACCCTGCTGGGCCCCACGGCAGTGTCCAGCTCATCTTCGGAGAAGCTGATGTGCAAGCAGGTGTCGTCCACAGGGGAGAAGGGCAGGGAGCTGTCCGTGGGGCTGCCCAGGGCTGCCAACTCCTTGGCCAGGGCCTCGCTGGCTGCTGGGTCACGGATGCTGGCCAAGGGGGACATTGGCCCGCTCTCTCCAGTCCTGTCCTTGCCCAGGCTGCGCTGGCACATCCCAGCAGGGCCGGGCTCCATGCTGGAGGCAGCGCTCCGTGCGGGAGTCCTTGCCTCAGAGTCCAAGAGGGTGAGGGAGCTGGCAGTGATGCTGGTGAGGCTGGAGATGCTGGCACTGGGCAGACTCAGGCTGGCAGCGCTCTCAGGCTTCACCTCCACCTCCAGGCTCGGGGAGGTCTTGCTTGACCTTTTGCGCAGGATGGGCGGTGGCGGGTTGAGCTTGGGAATGGGCGGCTGGTGCCTGGGAAGGCGAAGAGAGAGAGGAGGTGATGGGCAAGTACTTACCTGCACCACTCAGGGTGTCCCTGGGCCAGCTGGTGGGATGCAGAGGTGGCACATCCTACCTGTCCTCGTCCCCTCTGTCTGTGTCATCTGCCTTCTGCCGGCTGCTCCCGTTGAGCAGAGCAAAGTCACTGACCTCGGAGCCCTCCACGCGCCGGCTGAGCCCGTCCTGCCCCTCCAGCACCGCCAGGCACTCGTCCCCCTCCTTGCTGCTGTAGCGGTGGCTGCCCCTGTCCAGGCTGACGAGGTTGAGGTAGGAGTCCCTGGGGCCCAGGGTGGGCAGCGAGCCGGGGGCCACGGGGCTGCCCAGGATGCTGGCAGGGGTGGAGGTGGACGGCAGGTGGACGTCCAGGCTGTAGTGGTTCTTCAGGTTCAGGGAGAGGGATTGGGCCAGGGACAGGTTTTGCAAGGAGCGGTCAACTGTGAGAGATGGACAAAGGGACATGTGAAAACTGGGAACCTCCCCTAGACTGAGGGGTGCAGAAATGCCCCAAAGCCACCCAGAGCCTGCTGGGATGGTACTGGGAGCACCCCAACTGCTCCCTGTGACCACAAGGGGCGGGCAGATGGTCCAGAGGGATGGAGCTGGGGGCACCCCAGCACCCAAACAACCCTAGTGTGTGCGTGGGGGTCACTGTGCTCACCCGGCTGCCGGTGCTCGTCCCGCTGCTCCTCGCGGGCCTCCAGCACCGTGAGCTGCCGCACCAGCAGCGAGACGTGCTGCAGCAGGTCGCGGTTGGTCAGTAGGAGCTGCCGCACCCGGGCCTGCGCCTCGATCCGCGCCGCCGTCTCGGCCGCCAGTTGGTCCTTCAGCAGCTGCACCTGCGGGCCGGGCCGGGGCGATGCGGGGAGGGAAGGGATGATGCGGGCCGGGCCGGGCCGGGCGGAGCATCCCCGGGAGCATCCCCAGAGCATCCCCGGGAGCATCCCCGGAGCATCCCCGGAGCATCCCCAGAGCATCCCCGGAGCATCCCCGGGACCGGCGGAGCGGCGGCGCCACAGCGCCCCCTGCCGGCCCCGCCGCGGCACCCCGGTGACCCCCCCGAGCTGGTCCAGCGGCGGGAGGGGGATGCGGCGGCACCCCCGGGTGTGTGTGTGTGGGGTCTGTTGTCCCTCCGCTAACGAGAAACGAGCAGGGGAGGTGCCCAGCCGCGGGGCTCCCCGCTCTGATGCTGGTTTGGGGGTAGAGTCACTGAGGGGGGATGATTTCCATCCAGAAATGGGATGAAACAGGGTGAAATGGGAGCTGGGGGCTCTGCCGGACCCTGCCACGCTCCCGGAGCGGTGTGAGGTCGTGCGTGCAGCCAGCCCCGGGTGTGGGGGAGCTCAGCCATGCTGATGCCACAAGCAATGCTGCCAGTTGCACTGCAAGCGATGCTGCGAGGGGAGCTGCAAACCCTGCTGTGAGCTGTGCCACAAGGAATGCTGCCAGCAGTGCTGCCAGGGCCCCGGCCCCATTGTCAGCCCAGCCAGGCCAGGCTGGAGCAGGGAGAGGAGAAGGGCTGGTGCCACCTGAGGGGAGGGCAGGACGCGTACCTGGGCCACAGCCACCTGCGTCTGCTGCTGCTGCTGGAGGAGCTGCTGCTGGAGCAGCTGGAGGCAGTGCTGGGAGGCCAGTGGGGTGATGGAGGCCGAGGAGCAGGGGCTGCTCGGGCTGAGCAGCTGCTGGGAGCTGGCCAGGTGGAGGGAGCAGTTCTCGGCATCCTGGGCACAAAGAAATGGGCAGGTGAGCGGATCGACCAGCTCAGGCTGGGATTTGGATTGTGGTTCCCCACAGCTCTGACCCCAGTGCAGCAGAGGGGCCCCTGCACCCCTGGCACTCAGGGGGATGTTGAGGGGGCAGCCCTGGGCTCGGTGTCAGGCTCTGCATGTTGTGTGATCCCCAGGACAGTGTGTTTTGGAGCGGCTCCTGCTCCCAGAGAGCTGGCAGGGCTGCATTGGCTGTGTCTGGGGAGGGCAGGTCCCCCTGGGAGGAGACAGCAGGAAGTGACCCAAACACCCCACCACCTTTCCGTGATGTGGCTGCTCAGGCTGGGCGGTATCCCGGTGCCTGGAGCATTTGCCAGTGCCTGCAGCCCTTCCTGCCCCTGCCCTCCCCTGCCTGGGCAGCGCCAGAAGGAATGCACAGGAAATCCCGGCCTTTCCAGGCACGCAATGGAATCCCATGGAGTGCATGTCAGTGCAGCTGTTTTCAGCCAGGCCCTGCGAGCCATACGGTTGTGTGAGCTGAAGCGATGCCATTCAGGCCCTCGGGAAGTGCTCCCAGAGCTCTGTGGAGCAGCCACTCATTAAGGCAAAACCACTGCTCGTGCTGAACGTGCCCCGGGTACCTGTGCTGTCAGGGTTGGGCCCCCTTGGGATGTTGCTCCCTGGGCTTGGGTGGTGAGGGGAGCTGAGGATTGCTGCTGAGGGAGTTGGACAAGCAACTGCTGCAGAGCAGCTCTGGGGGCACAGAAATCCACCCTGGGCTGTGTCTGAAGCCTGCTCAGCCATGCGCCACGGCCCCACTCCTGCCTCTCGCCTCAAGCCCTGCCCCAGCACTGATACAGCCCTGCTGTGGGAAAACTGGGAGCTAAACAGCCTGTCCTGAGCAGGGAGCCAGAGGTGGGGTGTCTGCAATGGGGTCTCCATGAAAGTGCCTCCAAATGAAGCCATGATACAATGACCCTGAGCAGAGGGACCCCAGCAGCGGCAGAGCACATGGACCGTCCCCCAGCCCTCCCCCCATTACCTGGCCGTTCTTATCCTTTGAGGCTTGCCCAGGTTTCAGCATGCCAAGGTCCCCCCTGGCACCTGGCAGCTCTCTGGGTCCCCTCTCGGACATACAGATGCCCTCAGTGTCGATGCCAACCTCGTCCACATCCGTGATCTTGGAGCCCTTGATCTGGTGGACTTCAAACGAGACGGACACATGAACCCGAGCCCCCCTTCCCCGTGCAGGAGCGCAGGAAGAGCCGGGGCCCCGCGCAGGGCTGGGAGCTGGGGGAAGCTCAGGGACAACAGCCAGGATTGCTCCAAGTCTTGGCATGCGGTGAAGGGGCCGGAGGGAGGGAGCAGGGCAGCCGAGGGGCTGCAGACCCTGAGCTTGCTGGATGAGGGGGCTCCACCTCCCCAGTGCCCAGCAGGCAGACAGGGCAGATTCCCCATGCCCCCGAAGCACACGAGGGAGGTGCAACCTTGCAGTTGTCCACCCCAGAGCACCCCCACCCCCACTGCCGAGGGGTGGGGGGTCTGCCCGGGCCCCAGGGGAGCCATGAGTCACCTTCCAGCGGCTGCTCCTCGGCTGACTTGTCGCTGGCCCCGTCCGCCTGCCCGTCGGCGTTGTGCAGGGCGTGCTGCAGGCTCAGCTTGTGGCACACCTCGAAGGCCTGTCCCACCGTGCGCACCACGCGCATGGCCTGGCTCTGCGGAGCAACCCCGCGGGGCTCAGCCCAGGGTGGCTGCGCTGCCACCGCCACCGCCCCGCCACCCACGGGGCACTCGGGAACCTGCCCCACGCTGCTGGGCCTCCTCCTGTGCCGGGGGCTCCCAGTTCCCCCGCTCTGGATCTTGGTGTTCCTATCCCTGCGTGGACTGCGCCGCTGCCCGGGCTGGGCAGGAGGGGACAAGCACCAGGCATGTTGTTTTGGGGATGTCCAGCACCGGCGCTGCCTCAGTGTCTCCCCAGGGATCTGCACCCTCTAACCCAGCAGCTATTTAGGTTCCTGCACAGCAAGGAGTGAGGTCCCTCATAGACCTCTTTCCCAGGGATGGCCAGGGTGCAGCCCTGGGAGCATCCTACCTTCTTCTTGGATTTGAAGACGTTGCACCTGAAGGAGTTGTTGGCGCCGTCCCTTGCGATGTAGCTGAAAATTTTCAGGTCTTGCGAGTCATGAGAGACGTAGAAGATTCTAGGTGGGAGAGAGACAAAGGGAATTAAGCAGCCAGGGGATTTTCTGCCCTCCAGACCACCTCAGCTCCCGTGGGTCCCCAGGATGGGCAGGCTCACAGCCCCCAGGGTTGGAGGAACGAGGCGGTGCTGCTGCACAGCCCCTCCTGCAATTTTGAAGGATGGATTTAGAGAGTGTTTCAGGCTTGATGGAAAACCTTCTGGTTCCTGAGGCAAGAAAAAGCTTTTTAAAGATGCTGTGGGAAAGTGAAAAAATCTATAGTCTTGTAAAGCGTGGGGCTATTTTTAGCCCCAGCAATTAACCCCTGCCCAGGCTGCAGCGTGGCAGAACCGCCCGTATGGTGAGTGTCCTGCCCCTCGGGGCAGCCAGTCTGGGGACCTGACAGGTTGCCCCCTGGGCAGCAGGCAGGTGGCACAGCACAAAAGCCTCTCCCAGGGATGCTGAGTGCACTCGGAGGGTTTCTCTCTCTGATATTCAGGCTGACTCTCTTCCCTGAGCTGCAAAACCATATTTGAAGACTTTTTTATATGTTTGATTTAATTGGGTAAAAACGTGACAAGTGAGTTCAGCTCCGAACAGAGAAGAAACCAAAGGGATTCTTGAAAGGTTTTTTTTCTTCTCCTCTTTTCTGTCACTGGAATTTTTTGGGTGTTGAACTTGCAATTGGAGTAGTTGTTGAAGATCCTGTAATAATCTTTAAAGAAAGTCAGAGGTAAGAAGTGGGCATGGGTAATGCATCAGCACATCCTCTGCTCCTTATCTCCTTGCCAAGGGCTCTGACCCCTAAAACCAGTGTTGGGGATCCCAGTCCTGTGGGCTCTGTGCTCGTGATACAATTATTTATTGGCAGATCTAACAGCCTGGAGCACTCTGTGCTTTTAACTGTGTCCTCAGGCCACACACCATCACTGGGGTTGCCTTCACATCCCCGAAGGCTCCTGAGGCACCAGATGGGGCTTGTGGTCCCTGAAATTCCTCAAGATCCCACGGCAGGCGCTATGGAAAGTCAGTGCTCTCTTACCACGTCCATAAGGGTTAATTCCCTGCAAGCACTTACACCTGAGAGTAAGGCCTTTCTTCAGAAGCACACAGAGAACCATGCTCTGAAGGAAAATTATGGGAGGCCTGTCTTCAGAGGCAGAATCAGAGACTAATCTGGGTTGAGGCACCTCTGGGGGTCACCTGGGCGACCCTGTTCAAAGCAGAGCCAGCTTCAAAGCGAGCTCAGTCCATCTCGCTCTCAAAAATGTATGAAAAGGATTCCCCATCAGCAGTAACTCTGTACCCTCGTTAATTTTAGATGGTCCTTTGGAAAGCCGTGGTGGAGGTATCTCAGCAGGTGGGAGGATGGTACACATCACCCAGGGCTGACTGGGCCTCCCTGGTGTGAATCCCCTGCCACGTACCTGTACACGGGGTCGTGCATCACCACCATCTTACTCTCGTCCCAGGTCCACTCCTTTCTCTGTTAGAAGAGGGCAGAAAGAAAATTACAGTAAATCAGGTAAAGGTGGAACTCCACCATGCTGATGGTAGGAAACCTGGGGAACGGTGTGTTTGACCCCAGCCAAAATCCAAGCTATAGCGTGACTAGATGAGCAGTGGCTGTTTTAACAGTATCTTGGATGGAAATAGATTTTTTTGGATCATTTATCATATCTGATCACAGCCTTCAGGGCTGAAAATGGTCTCTAAGATTAATTTATAGCATCAAATATGCAGAAGAGTTCCATGTTTTGGGGAAGAAGGCCCTGAGCTGGGGCTTAGGAGATCTGGATCCAGCTGCTCGGTGGGAAGCTCAGCTGGGCAAAGAGCTGAGGGGTGCTCAGACCAGGCAGCATGGAAAAAGCTTACTGGTATTAGCAACAAAAAGAAACTGTATTTCTTTAGAGCTTGGCAATTTTTGATAGAAGAAAACCAATCCTCTTCCCATGGTGTAATTGTCACACTCTTTTTTTTTGAGCAAGGTTTTGTTATTAGTTGGATGGAAACTGTAGCGTTTTCTTGTGAAAATTCTGAGTGGTTTTTAAGAGAAGGCCAGTTTTGGTTAGAAGTGTGACTACCCTGAGCAGCAGTAACACCCAGACATGGTCATAGCCAACATCCCAGGTGCCCTGGCCCCAAGGGCCCTGGCTGGGCTGGAGAAGCCTCACCTTCTGCTTCTTGCGCAGGATCACCTTCACCCCGTCCACGGACACGATGATGCTCACCTTCTTTTTCTTAATGTTCTTGGCTTTGAATTCATACTGGTGAGAAGAAAAATCCAAGTTTAAAACAGTACTGGGGGGTACCTGGGACAGCGTGTGGTAGTCAGTGTCTTACGTGACAATGTCAGGGTTTAGTTTAATTTCAGCTGCTGAGGGAGGTGGGAATTTGTTTTATTCTACCAAGAAAAACCAGGTCAGGAAGGACATGCTGCTGTAGTTGGGATGTGGGGCAGATCCTGGCTTTGTCAGGAGCATCCCTTGGGAGAGGACTAGTAGAGTTCAGTCCTCTGGACTACATTTAATTTGGATCTGGGAAGAACTTTCCTGATGTGTTTTGGCCATGCCTGGTCCAGCAGGATTCTGCTCCTGAGGTCTGATGGGGAGGTGGCACTGGCAGCAAACACCAAGCAGTGATTTATGGCATCCCTTGTGTGTCAGTGCTGCGGTGCACAGGGAATATAAAATCTCTTAGGAGCTGCAGGGAGGGCCAGATGGGCGGCAGTAACGCAATTATAGCTCAGTCATTTGCATAATCACATTAACCTCTGTGGGATCAGGATCTCTGGAGAAAACCCCAGCTCCTCACCTGCAGGTGCCTGCAGCCTGAGCTCACCTCCATTTGTGTTAAAAATTAAACACTGGCTTTTAAATGTTGCTTTAACTGTCAGTCAGAAGCATGGCAGAGCCCTTCCACTCTGGGGACCGGTGTTTACAGCACTCATCCTTCCTGCCCCCATTTTAGGCACTATTTTCAGTTCCAAATACAGCTTTTTGATACCCCATATTTTTTGCATTCCCTATCTGAAATCCGCCGCTTTGTCACGTCACTTTGGAGAACCAAAGCAGCCCGTGTGATTTGTGGATGTGGAGCACAAGGTGATGCCAAGCAGCCAAGTGCAGTCTGAAGTCTACCTAGGCCATGTAATTAGACACCTAATTAGAACTCTGATCTCTTTATACAGGCAGTGGAGGTGCAGGGAGCACTTGAGGTGTTAACAGAGTCCAGGCACCTCTTTTGGGAGGCTGAAGTTGAAGGACTGTGTGTGGCTCTGTCACCCAAGCTCTGCAGGGAAGATGCAGATCTTCCCAGCTCCTCAGCACCCATTGTAAGCCTTACAGACAGAAAATTGGGTGGCTTTCATGTGTATCAGGCCTTTGATGCTGCTCATTGAATTGTTAGCACTCTTCAAGGTTTATGGTATCAGACAGACCCTGGATTAAACCACAGCCTTTTGATCTCCCCATGAATTATTACTTTCAGACAAGCTCTTTAAAAATCTATCTATAGCGCTATTGCGTGTGAACCTGGAACTAAATTTGCTATACACGTTTTTTATTTATGGGGAGGAGTGAGAGGAAGGGTGAGGTGGTGAGGGCATCCTGCAGACTGCCAGGGGGGCCCACAGGGATGTGCTGTGTGCGGGTCTGAGGCCAGGCAGATGGGCCCACCATGGCCAGCACCTGAGAGGGCTTCTCCCACCCTCCACCCAGGCAGCCCCTCGTGCCCAGTGCCCCCAGCCCAGCTGCTCCCCCTCCCCTGCACTCACCAAACTGTTTCTCCTTGCCTGCTTCCGTGAATGTCAATAAACCCGGGATAGACTGTTCTGCCCGCTAGAGAGCTGTTTATCTTTCTTTATACACAAATGGCTGGGAAAATACTAGCTGAGCTTTCCAAGAAAGAGCAATACAGTGTATTTTCCCATTGTAGCAACAGGGGTGCAATTACATTCAAACAAGGCTCTTTACTCAAAGGCTTTAAGCAAAGTCCAAGCCTGGATTTTGCAGAGATGCTTTTTCTTTCTCTCTCGGACAGAAAGGAACAATTGGGAGCAGCGGCAGCGCATCTGCGGGTGCTGCCAGGAGGGATGGCAAGGCTCTAATCCCAGGGAACTCCAGCCAGCTCCCACACAGCACCTCCCCAGCCTGGCTTCGGGACAGGTACAGGGTTCAGCTCCAGGCAGAGCTGCACAGCACTGTGAGCTGGATGTGGCCCTTTGCCACAGCATCCTCAGTGAGGAAGGAGTTTGTTGGTTCTTCTCACTCCACGCAGCTCGTGGCCACTGCTGCATCCTCCTGGGAGCACCTGGTCAGGGCACAGGAGGGCTGGGGGCCCAGCTGTGGTCGGAATTAGCTCGGCCCCAAAACAGTTAAAACTCAATGGGCCCCAAAATCCTTTCTGAAGGGTGAAACCCCTGAGGCAGCAGGAGCTGTAGGATGTCCTAGCACAGGCAGCAGGAACACCAGCTGGGTGAGAGCACCGTGCTCCAGGAGCAGGGATGGGCAGAGCCCCACGTGAGCTCGGGTTGGACTCTCTCCCCACCTCTCCACAGAAGAGGCAGGTGGGATGCAGCGTCACTTATTTAATTGCTTCCTATCAAGCAGGAATCAGTATTTTAATGAACCGTGATTTATGTAAGGACAAAAAAGCCCATGGAAAAACGCACCCAAAGGCTGCAGACTTTCTCCTATAAAATGGTCATGCACAAACCAACCTCCATCCCGGCATGAGGCTCCTGGCACTGTCATCAAAGTGAAGTCTAGCCACTGATTTTTTTCTTACTATTGAATTGACGTGATTTTTTTCCCCCGGATTTGTCAAGGTTACCGACAATCCAAACCCACACAGCAGCATTTATCTCTGCTGCCTTCCACAATTCAATCGTTATTCCCCTGCTGCTTGTGGTGTCCTATGGGGGAGAGCTTTGTGGATGCTAAAGGATCTGCAGTTGCCCTTGCAGGCAGCAATTCAGCAGCCTGGCAGCTTTCTTAACTAGGGAGGCAAGATGGGAGACTTTATTAAAAAAAATGCAGGTCAAAAAAGGGCAATTAATCTCATTTATTTTAGCAGCGTCATTAATTCTATATCTTCTATGTCTGACCTGGAATACTTTCCATTTCTGCTTTTAAATCCCCATGTTCAAGTCCTTGCCTTTCATACGGTCCCAGACACTGTTGGCATGTAATATTAACTTACCCACGAGCTAAAGACTGTATGACTAGAAATGTTAATGGCGCCGTGTGATGCATATTTCATTGGATAATTCCACCCAAGCAGATATAAATTACACATGCAGTTACCAGCTTCCATCTGCTGATGAAAGTTGGGCTAATGCACATTGGAAATCATGTGCAGTTTCCAGCACTAGGAACAACCTGCATGAATACAGTTATTCAAGGAAGCAATTCTTAATGTGATTAATTACCGAAGGTATCAGGGCCTTCATTATGCAAATGAAAACTGTCATAAAATAGAGAGTTTGCAGGTCTTGGAGGCAGACTCTGCTTCCAAAAAATGCATCTTCCTCATTAACAAGGAGCAGCAGGGCCAGAACATGCTCCTGGCCATGGTTCAAATGGTGTTTTAACTTGTATTAAGGGAAATCAAGGCAGAGGCTCTCCAGGTTTTTAAACAGAAGTGTGTCAATGCTCCAAATCACAGCTGGGTACTGTGACTTATTTGCATGCCCAAAGGAAGATGCCACAGGCTTGGAAATGGACGACTTCTTCCTGCAGCCGTAAATTCTGCAGCCAACCCTCAGCCTGCTGCCCTGCCCTCGGCCTCCCCTCGCCCCGGCCCGGCCTGGCAGGGTGCAGGATCTATGTGTCCATAAACAACCCCTCAACAATAACCAGTCCCAGCCCCTTCCCAAGCCCAGCCTGCCAGAGGGACACAGGGAGCATGGCAATGAGGAGGTGGGAATGAGCTTGGCTCTGCCCCCCGACAGCATCCCCCTGGCAGGACCCCCATCCCTGCTCCCAGCCTGGCATCCTTCCCTCCACTGTGGTGTGCGACCTCCGGGACTATGCCAGGGCCACCTTAGGAATTAAAACCATGATGAATCCAAGTATTTCAAGCTCAGGAATGTGATTAATTTCGAAGTGACTGACACTGTGAGGACAGGGAGGACAGGGCATGAGCTCGGCTGCTGTTTGAACGGCGGGTGCTGGGAGTGCTGCCCTTGGAGCCGATGCTACAGAAAACCCCAGAGTTCTTCTCCCAGCCAGCGCAGCTTAGCCGAGCTCTGCGTGTCGCCTCAGAGCTGACAAGGAGCAGTGTCAGTTCCCACACCATTTGGACAGCAGGCTGTGGTCCAGCCTCTGATCCCCCCTTCAGCATCACATCCCACCTTCCTGTGACAGCCGCTGCCGTCACCGGTCAGCGCTGGCCTCCCCGCGGCTCCGTCTGGACACCGCTGGGTTATGGCCCTTCCTTTGTCCCTCTGGGGAAGGATGTGCCTGTCTGAATCCTCTGAACTCCCCGTGCCCGTCGGAGCACACGCTCCTGGGGCCGTGGCCGCTGTGACTGTGGCCAGGCATAGTCTGGGGCTGTGCTGCAGTAACTGGGCAACACGGACACAAAAGCGACGCAGGAAGCGCTACAGACCAGGAGAGCACCTCCTGCCCAGTGGAAAAATGAGAATTTATGATCCTTGGAAACATAAAACTGTTCAGTGGAAAGCAGAAACCGAAGGGGGAGTACAATAGGCAAGAAGAATGCTGGCAACATACCCAAAGTCTCTTTTTCTCATTTAAATTAGCTCCTTCCACCATCCAGCAAACCCTCTGTAGATGCCGAGTACTGCTGCCCACGCAGCGAGCTGAGGAGCTATCACAGCCCTCCTGGGTTTCTGGGAGTCCCTGGAAGGGCAGCAAGGAAATGTGACCCCAGCCCATCACAGAGGATCCCTGGGTGGCCAGTGGTGCTGGCTGACCTCGGGCAGGGGCTGTGAGGATGCTGCCCTGGCTGGTCAGGTAAGGAGAAGGAGGGGAAAGAGCTCTTTTTTATCCAGGTCTCCTTTGCCATCTGAGGAATCCTGCTTCACAGCATTCAGATGGACATGTTAATACAGGCCTTCCTCTTCATCTCCTTTCTCCTCATCTTCAATAGATCTTACCCTTGGGAGGTCTCAGACTGCCTTTAAGGCCTCATAGAGCCTTTAAGGATAACTTGATTTTTCCACCTAAAGTGAGATGGCAAAGGACATGGCTGGAGTTCAGATATTCCTCTGAGCCAGTCCAAAGGATGTGGAGCAGACAGT